TTTTTTTCTTCAAAACTTGAATTCTTGAAACTAGATATAGATATATTTCTTTCAAGAATTTTTGTTTCTTGGTTCAAGATAGGCGATAACATTGATTCAAGATGTTACCGACTTGTGTTAAGAAAGGCTTTTTTTTTGACTCATTAATCTACTTATTTCCAAGAAATAATTTTATTTTGGTATAATAATTAAAGACTATTTAGTTTTTGAATTGTACTTTGATAAATTATTTAAAGTTTTTTAAACAATAATGTTATTTTAATTGAAAAACTTCAATGTATCGATTGAAGATAATATAGCTCTTAAGCCAAGAAAATCTAAATCAAGACAAGAAATTCTTAGAGCAAGATGATCATTTGTCTTCCAAAATAAATTCTTAGATCAAGAAAATATCTCTTGAGTCAACATAAATTTTCTATCAGTGTATCAACTCTGATCAGGGATTTTTTTTTCAAGTTTATCAAAGTATATATAACTTTATAAGGTTATATCAGGCCATATCAGGACCTATTAAGAAATAATATAAAATTATATATGAGCTTATCAAGCTATATCAAGTCTGATATAGGCATATCAAACTGATAAGGCTTGATATGGCCTGATATGGCCAATTTCCATATCAAGCCATATCAGGACATCAAAAATTAAATATGGACATATCAGGTCATATCAGGCCAGATATGAATATATCAAAAATTCTTATATGGCCTTATCAAATCATATCAAGCCTGATCAGAATATTTTTTCACGGGATGCCAACCGCGTGAAAATCGATTTATTCATTCAAAAGTAGTAGCAGTTTGAAAATTAGAAGAATAGTGTTGTATTAAACTTCTATCAGAATTTTAAGCTCTAAAAGTTCAAAAGCATAGAACGGCTAACTCTTTGAGCTAGGAGAGTTTAAAATAACACATAAATTTTATTTCTGAGGTCGAAGAGCTCCAAAACGTCATAAGTGCAATTTTAAGCGCTTAGATATGGAATTAGCGGGAGGGATAGCCTTTAAGGTCAACCGTTTTCCTCTTTTTTTTTGTTTTTTTCAAATTTTTGTTTTTAAATGAACTTTTTGAAATGAATTACAAAAGAATTATTCAAACCTACCTACTAGCGAAAATTTTCAGCATAGTGGGATAAGAAAAAAGCTTAATTAAAAATAATTTTTTTTTTTAATCGGAAAAAAAAATATAAATCAAAAAAATGACACTCTGAATAAACACGAGGATGTGCAGAAAATGTAAAAATTTGATTTACAGAACAAAAAAAAATGGGAATTGCAAAATTTTCGCTTTTTTTTTTAAATTCGATAAAAATCCATGAAGGTGAGTTTGAATATTTTTTTTGTATTTTCTTTCAAAAAGTATATTTAAAAACGAAAATTCGAAAAAAAACAAACCGTCTCAATAAGTCAAATTTCGAAAAAGTAATAGCTATTTCAATAATAAAAAGTAGTTTTTTCAAACATTCATAACTTTTTGTTGGTAGCGTAAAACATTTGAAAAAATTTTGAAAACTGTCTTATGTAGAGTAGGAAAGGGTAAAAAAATTTCAGCTAAATCGAAAAGAGTAAGAGTCAAAAGTAATGTATGATTAAAATTGAAAAATAAACTTACCTTCACAAAAAAGAGTTACATCCGTGAGACTTTCGCTTTTGAAAAGATTCGAAAAAGCGGTAGCTAAATTACTTCCAAAACTATTCCATTTTAGACAAAATTGTTGTTGATGGGAATCCATTATGTTATTTTTTATTCCAAAATTTTACGTTCAAATTATTCTGCCAGAGAAAAGATTCCCTTCAATTTATTGCTCTAACTGAAAAAATATAAAATGAATCATCAATATAGAATTCTCACAGCCATTCATGTTATTTAGCAACTTTGTTGAGAAAATTATTCAGACAGTTTCAAATTATTGCACAGCTTAAATCATCACATTTCACAATAGATGAAAAAAATGATTCAATTAATCGCTATAAATTAAGTTATTAAAACCCTGTTATTTTCCGTGGCCCAATTTCTGACTTTTTCAGCTTTAATCGAAAGTAAAAAAATTTTTTCAATCAAATTTTATATCTGTATTTTAAGTTTGGAAATTGAAATTAAAAATTCTAACACCCACCCCCGCAATTCCTATCGAAAGTAGAATTTATTGGAATCCGTTTTGAGATGATCTCTACATGACAAATAAAAGATTCCTACCAAATTTCGAGTCTATTAAGACTATTAAGTGTGTGTGTGTGTGTGTGTGTGTGTGTGTGTGTGTGTGTGTGTGTGTGTGTGTGTGTGTGTGTGTGTGTGTATGTGTATGTTTTTTTTTTTTCCCTTTAGGGGGGGGAATCCTTTTTACGGATTCTAGGCATAGATGTTGGGCCGGGTATGTGGCGACTCGACGCAGCATCATACTAAAACTTGACGCTGACGCCCCTACCCACTAAACCCTAAACCCCTTTCTCTTCTATCCTCTGATCCCAACTCTCGGGCGCTTGCAACACATGGCGAGCGTCCTCCTTCTATCTAGCCTCCGTGATTTAAATAGTGAACACTGTTCAAATTAGAAAGTTTAGGTTCTGTATCGTTGAATATTTATTTTATAGAGTATATTTTGTTTCAAATAAATGTAAGCTATTGTCGAGTACAAAGGGACATTGTAGTTGAGTTCTGAGAAACCTTAGGTACTTGAGATTCTGAGGAAAAGCCATAAAAGATACGTTTTAGGAAAATTCTATGATCCCTTGTTTCAACGGCTAAATAATAACGTAACAAATATCTAACAAAGAATAAGATCGTTAAATAACATATTTTTGTTAAACTTGCTTTAATATAATATTGCAACGAAATATATAAAAATTAAACTAACAATTTATATCCTGTATCCAACCTATAAATAATTATTAATTAATGTTAAAAGAATAAGATTTTATAAAATAATATTATTAAATGATATTTATCTCTTACATTAACAATTAAACTGTTTCATAGTTTTAATAAATTATAGATTGATAGAAATAGTAATAAGCTTAATCTAATTTGCAAAATACGAATATTAATCAACTGCAATATATATAATTTATAAATAAATGTATGTAAATATAATAGAAAATATTATATATTAGTGTGAAAATCATTTATATGTAGTAGAAATATGTGTACTTATATATGTACAAGAGTGGATATATGTATGGGAGTTATGGTGGGAGAAGAACGGAGTTTGAAGCTCTCCGGAAAAACTATGTAACGACACTTCTCATCGAGAGCTTAGATTGCTAAGATCACGTCATTGTAAACCTCAATTTCATATTTTCAAGCTTTTAATATTTTGTCAACTTGAATAATAAATTAAAACCAACTAAATAATTTTGATCAAAATTAAATAACATCTAAATAGAATTCTTTTATTTAAAATTATTCCTTTCCCGCGCTGAAACCGAGTATTTTAATACTCCCGGGCGAAAGAACTACAGTAAGTAAAGTTTTCAATAAATAAAAATAACATCCCCTAGATGGAAGCATAACAATGTAACTAGGTGCATCACTGTTATGTCAATGCTCTTGTAGATTTTGATCAAATCTACAAGAGCATTTTTTATATTTTTTATTTTTTATGTTTTAACCATTTTTTTAGTCATGAAAGCTTAAAATCGATTTTAGCCGTTTCGAGAGTAATATGAATAAATGCTCTTAAAAATAAAGGAAAAAACTTTAAAATAGTTGAATTTTATCGATTTTGAAAAATATATATTTCCAAACAAAAATTTAATTTCAAAATTGCAGCTCAATTAATGAATTTGATAAATTTTTTAAAAATGCTCTTACAGGCAATTCAAATGTACGCCATCATCACTTTGAAAAATTGTGCTAATCGACATTTTCATGAAGATATCGATTGTTAAAGTTTTCAATTGTCGGATGTCGGCTGATTCACACTCATGAAATTTTTTGCTTTAGAAAACTTAATAACTCCTAGAGGGAGCCACACATAAAAGTATGATAATATATTGACTCATGCAGTAGCTTTAGCATTTATTGTTCAGCCCTTACATTTGTAGTTACGAAATGAATGTGCTATTTTTTCGCAGGAAAGCGCTGTGTATGTACACAAAATTTTTCAGTGTCTAGCGAAATGACAGAAGACTTCAGGACTATAATTTTTTGATTCATGTTAATTTAAAAATTTATAAAATACTCAAAATGTGAAAAAACAATTTGGTACATCGGTTTTTAGAAATTAATAATCAGTAACCGTGAATGATACTTTGATTCGACATTAAAAGATATTTATAAAAGTGAACTTGAAATTTGTTTGTGAAGCAGATTTTGCCGGCGATTCTATTGGATTAGCTGTTACAATGAAGTCAACAGTATGTACGATGAATAACAAATATTGAATGACTTTTTCAGTACGTACTAATTGTTTTAGATTATCTTGCGATACATTATGTTTTTAATACTTTTTGTAACTATCATATTTCAGCTATATAAACCAATAATATTTAGTTATTAGTTTACTTTAGTATGGAACGTAAATGATAAATGAAATTTTCGAAATCCCACCTCATTACACTGATGTATTTATTCAATATTTCCATCATAACGATCATCTGATCATCGATTAAGTCAATGTTTTTCAATAATTGTTTTTCAATCAAACTTTTGTTCCTTAAAAAAAAAAGAAATACATGAGATGCTTACCACTCACTGTACTCCTTGAAGCTATAATGATAATAAAATATGTCCGGTAATTTTTTTCAAGTCGTTATTGTTTTAGAAAATTATTTTGAATAAAACGTCACAAAGCAATATTGATCATCTTTATTAAACATGACCATACAAGATATACATTAATTTTGGCAATGTCTAAACATATACACAATCTGGTATCGATAAATATCATATAAACACCAAAAAATTTTTAAGTAAAAATTATTGAATAAATTAGTAATGATGATAATTTAATTTCAATATGTTAATAATTCAGCTATCGTCGAAAATTTTAATTACATTGACTCACATCACTATAATGATAAATTTATTAAATATTTTGCAATTCAGAATTTTCATATTGTGTATATCAAATTATTTCATGTTCACACATGACCACAATTTATGCAGTATCTGAGAAAAAATAATTTTGCCTAATCATATATAGTTATAGACATAATTAGACATGAAATATGTATAATTATACAATCGCGTTCATTAATTTGAGTCAGTTTTTGTATTCAAGGATTTATTGTCAACCTTAAATTTGGAGGATTCTAAACTCTAAAATTTGGAAGTTATAAATTTTTCCATTTGTATGAAATAAGATTTCACATATTTTTAACTATCAAAATCGAAAAATTCAGTTGTTGATAAAATAATTTTTTAAAAAATTTAATATTTGTAATGGATTTATGAATTCTTCATTGAAGATTTAAAAATTTTTATATTGCTATTTTTTTTTTATTTTGAAACTCACAAGTTTTAGTTTTTTAAGTTTCTTTATTAAAATTTAAATCATGTAATCGAAAAAAATAATGATTCTGAAAAAGAACGTACGAGTAACTAATGTGGAAGCTTTATTATAATTCATAAAAAAATTTTTTCCAGCAAAACAATCACTTCTTAACTTCCCGCTAAAAAAATTGAAAATTTTCAAAAAATTAGGAAAGTTATTGGCTTCACCCCGATTTTCGAAAATCGAGTTTTCATCAGATCTCGACGATTTAAGGTCCTAGGAAGCTATTTTAACTAATTTCACGATGACGTCAGTAAGTCCGTGTGTGTGTGTGTGTGTGTGTGTGTGTGTGTGTGTGTGTGCGTGTGTGTGTGTGTGTGTGTGTGTGTGTGTGTGAGTGTGTGTTCAAATTCAACTTTCCTGAAAATTTGAATCGATTCGGACCGATAGATTTTGAGGCATTCCAATAGAACCGTAAAAAAAAAATTTGTCGAAATCATGTTTTTTTGAAAATAACTTTTGAGCCGTCAAAACAAACGTTTCCATAACCTAATCAGCTCTTGACCTCAAAAAATGACGACGAATGCCGTTTGGCTGATCAGAATCGGTTCATCCGTTACCTAGGTAGGAAAGAACAACTGGACAAGGCTTGGTCCAAGCCTGAGCCAAGCGTCACCAGCCTTGGGTAAGGCTTGGCACGAGTCTTGGCTAAACATTGGGACAAGGATTGGTCCAGGCTTAGGATGATAACTATGTCCCCAAGCCTTGGCAAACAAAAAAGCAGGCTTGGGCCAAGTCTTCGAATCTAAAAAAACCGAGGTTGGTCCAAGTCTCTGGGAACGAAAATCCAGGGTTGATCCAAGCCTTGGAAAACTAAAATCCAGATTCGATCCAAGTCTCGGGGAACAAAAGTCCAGGGTTGATTCAAGCCTTGAAGAATAAAATTCGAGGTCAATCTAAGCCTTGGGGAACACAAAAACACGGTTGATCCAAACCTTAAGGAACAAAATCTAGGTTCGATCCAAGCTCCAGCGGAAAAGAGCACACGTTCTATCTGAGCCTCATCGAATAAAAATCCAAGGTTGACTTAAGCGAAAATCCAGGTTTAATCTACATCTTAAATACTTATAAAAAGTGTTTAGCATACTTACAGTATACTGAATACTAAAAACTAATATAATAAATTCATTCATATTTATGAACACTAAATAATTTATTTTGAATTTTAACACTGATAGATGAAAACATTTTTAATTTTAGTAATTTTAAGTAACTGAAGTAAATAGAGATTATTTTATTTAATCTTTTTTACGTGTTAATCTTCCACCACCACGATCTCCAGCTCCGGATAGATACATACTTATGACACTGATAGTCTTCATGGTTTTTTTTTATTAGAGTATTTGTATTCGATGAACTCTGTAATATTGAATTTAATGTTTATTATAATAACCAAAACATAAATATAATTATAATTTAACATTAATCTCGAATCAATGAAAAAACTTCAGTAGCACTGAAATTTTCCTTTCCAACATCTTTCGTTACTCGTCCAACACCGCTGTATAAAATTTGTATTTCTTTTTTTAATAACTCTGTCATAATTTTTTTGATGTCTTTATCATAGTCACAGCCTCCACAAGTCCAGGCATTAAACATAGTTTTCTGTGAAGAATAGAAAATACTTAAAGTTCAATTATTCTACATTGTACACACAAAAAGTAGACTTAAATATTATTTCAAGTGAAGATATATTTACAACAGCATTTCTCATCTCAATATTGATCTTCAAAATCCTCATCAAATGATGGAAAAATTGCCAAGTCTTCGATAGGAAACGAAACATTCATTTTTAATTGCCTGGACTCGTCTGCTTGATTTGTTGATGCCGCTGATTTCTTAGATTTATGAGATGTGTCTGATATTTCTGGCCAATATCATACAAAATGCTCCTTTTTGCACTTGTCATTTGTTTCTCTACCGACAAAAACTTCAATTACATGTACTCGATTACAATCTCTGAAAAAAAACAATAGGTCAAATAAAAAAAATCTGGAAAACGGTTGACCCTCAAGGCCATCCCTGCAACTTCCCGCCAATTCCATACCTAAACGCTTGAGATTGCACTTATGACGTTTCTGAGCTTTTCGAGCTCAAAAATACAATTTGTGTGTTATTTCGAGCTCTCCGAGCTCAAAGAAATAGCTTTTGTATGCTTTTGAGCTCTTCGAGCTCAAAAGGCTGATAGAAGTTTAATGAAACAGTATTTTTAAAATTTTTAAACTACAATAATTTCTAAATGAATGAATCGATTTTCACGTGATTGGCAGTATTCCACGCACTTTGTCAGAATCTATGATATACTTTTGAACACAAACTGATCGAACCGAAAATTTTAGAGAAATTAGAAAAATTCACTTTTTCCGAATTTTTTCGACAACGATAACTCACGAACCAATCAACCAATTTTCACGTTCTTGGTAACGATCGACGTGATTTTTTGGGCTCTTATAATTATTCTATTTCGTCAAAAATGAGCCAAAAGAAAAATCTCGACGTTATGTGAAAAAGACACTTTTTTTCGAAATTATTCGTTTTCGATAACTCTCGAACGAATCAACCGATTTTGATGGGACTGGTGGCAATTGACGTGGTTTAACCAGTCCAACAGCGATCGACGTATCTTTTCAAGTTTAAGAACTTATGAGTTTTTGAAAGTGATCGGTGAAGCCATTTAAGAGATTTTTTGAAAAAATATTTTTTTTGAAATTTTTCGTTTTCGATATCTCACGAACAAATCAACCGATTTTGATCGGTCCAACGGTGATCGACGTGGTTTTTCAAAGTTAAGAGCTGATGAGTTTTTGGAATCGATCGGTAAAGCCGTTTAAAAGTTATTCCAAAAAAACGTATTCCAAAAAAAACGATAGTTTTTAATGAAATATAATAATTATTAGAGCCCAAAAAACCACGTCGATCGCCACCAAGAACGTGAAAATCGGTTGATTGGTTCGTGAGTTATCGTTGTCGATAAAATTCGAAAAAAGTGAATTTTTCAAATTTCTCTAAAATTTTCGGTTCGATCAGTTTGTGTTCAAAAGTATATCATAGAATTTGAAAAAATGCGTGGAGTACTGCCAACCGCGTAAAAATCGATTCGTTCATTTAGAAATTATTGTAGTTTAAAAATTCAAAAAATACTGTTTCATTAAACTTCTATCAGACTAGCGTAGAACAGCGAACTCTTTGAGCTCGGAGAGCTCGAAGTAACATATAAATTATATTTTTGAGCTCGAAGAGCTACTGGTCCGAATCGTTTTAAATTGTATTCAAAATGTAAGTTTTGTCAAGCCCTTTCGAATGGCTCTTTTGTACCGCGAATAAATCGGTCAAGCCGTTCAAAAGTTATGAGAGGTACACACACACACACACACACACACACACACGCACACACACACACACACACACACACACACACACACACACACACACACACACTTACATATACACAGCTGCACAAACACCATCCCGGAAATAGTCAGGACAGCTTCCTAGGACTTCAAAACGTCGAAATCTGATGAAAACTCGATTTTCGAAATAGGGGTAAAAACAATAATTTTCCGATTTTTGAAAATTTTCAATTTTCTCAGCGAGAAGTTAAAAAAAAAATAACGCAAACAATGATTATATTATTAATATGAGTTTTACTTGTATACCGTTTTCTGGTTTTTACAAGGTTACTTTCCGCTGGGGAAACCACAGAGAAAACCCATGCCAGTACAGTTCGGCTACCGGAGCGACCTCCGACGGTTGGTGTTAAAACTATTTGAACAACCGTCGGGGCTCGAACCCTCGCCTCACGACATGATGCACGAACGAACTATGAGGATAATGACTTAGTCCGCTCTGTCATCATGCCGCTTTTAACAATGATTATAATTGAACATAATAATTACGTTGCTCTGGAGTCATTTTGCTTTAAAGTTCACACAATTTATTATCCAAGTTCTCTTTTTGAGACCTTTTCGGTGTTCCACCTCCAGCAGCACTCATATTAGCTACATATTAAATTAAAATAATCCAGTTTCATTAATTATTTAAAATATACTGTTATATTTTAGTTAAATGAAAGAAATTTAAACAATTATCAACAGCAGCTGTTCCCATTCAAGACAAGTTTGCATTATTTGCTGTTTTTCTGTGAGTACTCGTTCTTGAATTCTCAAAATCTATAAAGTATTAATAATTGAAATAATATTTTATATTTTATTAGTAATTACCAGTTATTTATATCGAAAATATTGAGACCATATTTTTTTCGTTTTAACGGATGTTTATTAACAACTTCATAACATACCATTTTACATGCTTCTCCCATTGCTAGAAAGTTTTCTGATTTCGGATAGTGAACTAGACCTTAAAAGTGGCTTTGCGTAATTGAAAAATGTTTGGGTAACGCTTTAAGATAATAACTAACAATTAAGATTATTTTTCTGTTGTTTTTGAATTACTATGTATTCACAATAGTATCAGGTGCTCAGTCTTTTAGAGTAACAGTAATCCCTGAATAAAAAAAAATATTGAGACGAAGAAAAAAGTATTGAAAAGTATTGGTTTTCTAGTCAATCCAATACTTTTCAATACTTTTTTCTTTGTCTCAATACTTTTCTTTTATCAGGGATACAAGTATAATCTGACTTGAAAATATTTTATTAGAAAGAAATCATTAATTGATTAACAAGGACTTATGTTCAAGTAGCTTATAAAATAATAGTATCTGTGAAAACATGGAAATCCTTCTTTTCTCAACTTGAAAAATACAACCTTATCATTGCCGATTATTTAAATTCAAACAGTAGTATTAATTGTAGTTACTGAGCGCGAATGAGGACACAGAAAAAAATGGTATTTGAGTAAGATTACAGTTAGATTGTAGTTAGTTTTTTCTCTTTTTAATTCTCCCTTCTCTTTTACGCTATATATCCAAAACGTTCAACTGACTCCATGGTTCCTATTTGAAGACCGACCACCAGTTCTATAGCCACAGCATACTTCCGCGTTACGTCTCTTCAAGTATGACGTGAGCTGTTCTTTCTTCTGGCGCTGCTTCCCGTGCGTCCACGTGCTTTGTTCCCTGTGCTCATACTACCTGGTTTATCCGTTAACAGGTCGAACGGCACAGAATCTTAGATTTTTATCATAACGCTAGCAATTTAGAAAATACATGAGTCAAAAAATAAGTGAAGATAATAAGTGCCGATTTTGAACTGTTAAGTTGAAGTGCAATTATTATTGTTTATTATTAAATTATAAGTAAACAAAACATTACGCAAATAACTTCCAACTAGATCCTCTGTAAGTTTTCAAACATTTATAATTAATATTTTTATCGTATTTGGATTTAGAAATAATCTATTGTTTCTTAACCATTTCAACTTCTACAGTTATTTTTTAACAATTTATAGTCGCTACAATTGTATTTTTTTTTTTTTGAGTACCATGATAACAAAATTCTGGATATTTGGTACTTTAATGTCATTGGGTTTACTTATTTTACGGAAATAATCATTTTTTGTTTCAATTTAAGTAGCTTAAATTTAGGAGCATTTAGCTTAAAAAAGAATGCCAAAAGTAAAATATCTAATCATCAAAAAAACTTCCTTTGGTTGAAATTGTATAATCATGAATTTTTTGTTTTGGTTTTTGATTAAAAATTTTTCTTTTACTACTGTCTTAGTAGCCAGAGCTTCAACAATCATATAAACAGTATCAAACATTATGCTAGAATAAGGAGCCATACTATAACTGATTTAATTTTTAATCAACAAATAAAATAGCATTAGATCAATATCTAAAAATTGCTTATAGAAAATTTTTAATTCGGAAAATGTCTGTTTTTTAACTTATTTTCTTTACAAAAATAAACTATATTAGTCTTAGATAAAGTTTTATCCCGAATTGAGAACCTGACCCATGAGTATTTAAAAAATCACCGCACTATTGACAGGTAGTGTCACCTAAGTGCAACTAGTCACATCACAGTAGCATACGTCAAATACTATACCTCAGTTTGCATATTGTACATACAGTATATCAGAGGCATCGAAAGCATCGATGCCCACTTTTGTTCTGTACTCTGTACACACAGTTATGAACATTTCTAACCTTGGTTTATTGCTTTGTACATAAGTTGATTGCATGGCAAAAAATTTTTTCTACTAACCCTACCTGACACATACACGTATCTACATGTTCGTCTCCTGATTTTTTTGTTGAAAAGAACCAGAAAGCATATAGTCAGTGTATAGATAACGCTTAATTATTTCATTACGATGGATATTTAATTACATTTTCAACATTATCGTTTAAATTTTTTAAATAATAATTTGAATGAATAATCAAAATGTCAGATTTCCGAAACTGGGTTAACTCATTACCAATATTCACGAGATATTGGTTAATGCTGACTATTGGCTTATCATTAATTGGAAGATTTGGACTTGTCTCGTCGCAATTGTTGACATTACGCTATGATAATCTGATCCATAATTTTGAAATTTGGAGAGTAGTTACTAGTTTGTTTTATTATCCATTACGTCAAGGTACAGGATTTCATTTTATGATTAATTGTTTTTTCCTCTACCGATATTCATTAAAACTTGAACAAGAGGAATTTATTGGAAGGCCGGCTGACTATTTTTTTATGCTCATCTTCAATTGGATGTGTTGCGTTGTGATTGGTTTAATTGTAAATCTTCCTTTGTTAATGGACCCCATGGTAATCAGCGTTTTATATGTTTGGTGTCAACTTAATCAGAATGTTATCGTCAATTTTTGGTTTGGTAAGTATTTATATTTCTTTGAGTAGAACTGATTCATTTCATTTAATTATTTCGTTTATTTTGTAATATATGAGAAATTTTACTTTCAGGTTCAAGATTTAAAGCAATGTACTTACCTTGGGTTTTATGCGGATTTAATCTGATTCTATCCGGTAATGGAATATTGGAGCTTATAGGAATTTTAGTGGGGAATCTTTACTTTTTCCTTAAGTTTAAATATCCACAAGAGTATGATGGTCCAGAATTGTTAAATACACCAAAAATTTTAGAAAAATACTTCCCAGTACAAAGAGTAAACATAGGAGGGTTCTCTGATAATAATGTAAATAACCGGGCTCAACTACAATTAAATAGGCATATTTTTGGTGGTCACAATTGGGGTCGAGGTCATGTTTTAGGACAGTAACTATTCAAATTAAAAGTTGATAATATATTATATTTAATGTTAATAATACTAAGCTACAACATAGCTTGATTGTACAGTGAAAGCTGTTAAAAGTTACCGTAGTTCTGTTTCAATTTCTCATAAAACGCTAATAAGAGCAAAAAAGACAACATGGGTAATTTTTAACAGCTTTCACTGTATGTCACTTATTTTTTACGTTATTGAATAATGAAAAATTATTTTTTTCATTAACTTGTACTGTTCAAAAATATTTTATCAATTATATTTATGATCAGTTGAAAATTGAAAACAAGTGAGTTGAAAAACATTAATTGATTTTTATTTTGAGTCTAATTGCCTCATTAACAAATTAATAATTCATCATTTTTTTTATTAAATACAATTATATAAACGAAATTGAATTTTTTAACATAAGAAACATGTAAGTATCAATAATAAACATGACAACTAATATCCTTGCTTTGCAAATTATTTCTTACTATTTGTCTCCAAATGATCATTTTTAAATTTCACTCATTAATGATAGTCTTAAGGCCACTTTTTCAATCCAGGATAAAATTTTATCCAATGATAAAATATATCTATATATTTCATATATATAAATATACTGGCAATAATAATTTTATCCTGGATAAAATTTTATCTTGGATTGAAAAACTGACCCTTAGTTTTACAGAACGCTATTTATGTATGTCATTAAGTTTTTTCAGTTTTTAACACGAATCATAAATTTTTTTGTTCATAAGTATAATTTAACTTTTTAATTTTTAATTACAAAAACGTTATGCAGGAATATAATTATTTTATTTACTTTTGTCAGGGGAGATTATCACAAAACTAAAATCTTGAATAGACAATTGTTATCAATTGAAATCATTATTTTTTCTTACAAAATAGCCGTAATGAAGTCATAGTTAAAATGAAATCAACAAATAAGATTTGAATTAATCCCGCATGGTATTGACTCTTCCCTCTGTTCACAAGGTAGCAGCATTGTTAGTTTAGTGATCTGACTTTAGTTGCAACCTCATCATGGGTGCACTAGAATCGTCATAAACGCTAGTTTTTTCCAGCCTGACAACATAGCGGTTATATACAGTCCGCGACATGTACATATTTCTCCCGCACACGATAACAAACGTACACGAAAACATCTCTATGTAAAGAACTCCATGTTTCCATGTTAGACATTTCTATTGAATTGTTATGCTTCCGTCTAATGGTGTTATTTTTATTTATTGAAAACTTTACTTACTGTAGTTCTTTCGCCCGGGAGTATTAAAATACTCGGTTTAAGCGCGGGAAAGGAATAATTTTAAATAAAAGAATTCTATTTAGACATTATTTAATTTTGATCAAAATTATTTAGTTGGTTTCAATTTATTATTCAAATTAACAAAATATTAAAAAGCTTCAAAGTATAAAATTGAGGTTTACAATGGCGTGATCTTAGCAATCTAAGCTCTCGATGAGAAGTGTCGTTACATAGTTTTTCCGAAGAGTTACAAACTCCGTTCTTCTCCCACCATAACTCCCATACATATATCCGCTCTTGTACATATATAAGTACACATATTTCTACTACATATAAATGATTTTCACACACTAATATATAATATTTTCTATTATATTCACATATATTTATTTATAAATTATATCTTGCAGTGCATTAATATTCGTATTTTGCAATTTAGATTTAGTTTATTACTATTTCTATTAATCTATAATCTATTAAAATTATGAAATAGTTTAATTGTTAATGTAAGAGATTAATATCATTTAATGATATTATTTTATAAAATCTTATTCTTTTAACATTAATTAATAATTATTTATAAGTTGGATACAGGTTATAAATTGTTAATTTAATTTTTATATATTTCGTTGCAACATTATATTAAAGCAAGTTTAAGAAAAATATGTTATTTAACGATCTTATTCTTTGTTAGATATTTGTTACGTTATTATTTAGCCGTTGAAACAAAGGGATCATAGAATTTTCCTCACACGTGTCTTTTATGGCTTTTCCTCAGAATCTCAAGTACCTAAGGTTTCTCAGAACTCAACTACCACGTCCCTTTGTACTCGATAATAGCTTTCATTTATTTGAAACAAAATATACTCTATAAAATAAATATTCTACGATACAGAACCTAAACTTTCTAATTTGGACAGTGTTCACTATTTAAATTATGAATTAATAAAATAATTTAATATAATTAAATTACATTTAAATTCGCACTTCACTGGCTGATAGCGTCATCTGCTGGATGCATCTAGAGGCATCCCTGATTAAATACTTATAATGTTGTGAATCCGAAAGGATTGATCACAACGCTCTCTGTATATTAACATAGAATTACGTATAAAAGGATGGCTGCAATGAATGATAGCGGGAAAACCCAGTAAGATTTAAAATATATGTATTTATTTGTAATAGTATTAGTAAGAGAAATAAGAATCTTTCAAATGTCGTAAACCTTTCTATTTTAAATTCTATTGTCAAGTATGGGAATTTTTCTATCATAAATTTTAGGGTATAGACGAATTTATAATTACCGGAAACTCCCAAGGGAAAACATAAAAACTTTTACGAAGTGTCTATTGACACCATCCACGGAAAATCCGTGACTCTAACACTGAGTCCGGGAATGGAGTGAATCGATTTTTAATTCAAATCGGGTATTTTAACTTCAAGAATTAAATTCCGTGGCACTAAGCACTAAAGTCCGGGTCTGTAAACATCTATCGTCCGTGGCTCCAAGCATT